CCTTGACGTACGCGGGCTTGTTGACGCTCTCGCAATGCAGAGAGGTAGTCGGTGTGCCAGACTTCCCAGAACTGGTCGAGAAGTGCGAGCATCTCCTTGTACCACTCTGCAAGATTGTGAGAGGTGTCGTAAACGGGATCTACGTGCGAGGGAAGAGGGGGTAGCTGTATGTTGACTGCCGGCGATATGAAATCTATTGGCCGTAAGACATACGCGAAAACGTCCCGCTCCCAGAAGGGGGTAATAGGACGAGAATTTAACGTCGCTTCGATCTCAGCGACTACGGTTTGAAGTTGGTTTAGTTGTAATACAGCGCGACCGATGGTCTTTTTGTACGCGGTTTTGAATAGGGCCACCAAACGTTCATAGAACCCTCCTTTCCAAGGGGAAAGAGGGGTTATGAACTTCCAGTTTATTTTGTGCTCTACGCAGTAGCTGGAAACGGCCTCCCATGATTTGGGAGAGTAAAGCACTGACGTGATGGCATTCTCTGCCGCGTGAAACGTGGTCGAGTTATCGCTGTATACGACGTCCGGCGTGCCCCTACGGGCAATAAATCTCCTAAAGGCCAGTAAAAACTCCTGCGTTGAGTTGTCGAGTACGACTTCGAGATGTACTGCGCGTGTCGCCATACAGGTAAACAGGCTGATCCACACTTTGTTGGAATTAGCGTGCGGGTTGCTTACGGTGAGTGGGCCGAGGTAATCTACGCCGATGTTTTGAAAGGGCCGTGATCTTTTAACCCGTTCTGGCGGTAGCTGCGGCATGTTGGGGTACCGGTAAGCCTGCCCGTTGACCTTTTTGCAGACTACGCAGTTACGCAGAGTTTTTCGAACATATTGACGAATAGATGGAATGAAAAATCGTTTTCGTAGATTGGCTATAGTGTGATAAACGCCTGAATGATGGTATAAATTATGATGGTGAAGCGTTATAATAGATGTTAATTTGTGAGTAGGCACTAAGAAAATGGGTGCTGAAGCTACGGTGCCTACGCGTGCCGGGCAACGAATCAACTGATCTTGGTCTCGCTGAGCATTGTATTGAGCGAGTTTTTCCCGCATTAGAAAGGCTTCACTCTCGCGATAATGCGCGAGAATGAGTTGAACCTCTGCGGTTTCGATGTCCGACACTAGTATGGCACCTGACGAAGAAATTTTTCCTACTGAGGACAACTTTTGAAAGATCTTATCGCGCGTACGTTGTGATACGCGGTCAAAAAATTGCCTACGTAGGAACTTAAGTATATAAACAGTGATACGAGTGAGCTTCAAGAAACTGTTAGTTATTGAAAATGGTAGGACTGATACGAACTTACCTTCCTGAACCGTCTGCACATTTTGGTACTCACATTCAACTTCTTCTCCATCTTGGGGAGGCACTCTAAAATCGATTTGCGCGTTGGGCCACTGGGCAGATGGTCTACGCAAGAACTGAGGGCCAGTCCACCAGATGTGATTTTCGGCTTCCTTCGTGGCTAGACCGCGAGTAGCACAGTCTGCCGGATTTTCCTCGGAAGCGACGTAGTGGAACTTGACTGGTATACCCAGATTCTCGAATTCTGCCATGATACGACGGATGGTATTTACGCGATTTTGAACAAAGACCTTGTAGGGTCTCAGCGCGTGTATCCAGTGTAGCGCAATCAAGGAGTCCGAAAATACGTGTACGGTTGCGAAAGGCAAGTTTAGATGTTTGACTAGGAATTGCGCCATTCGTACGCTAATTAGAGCTGCAAGTAACTCTGTGCGCGGGATTGTGACTGGCTTGGGGTTGTTCAGATGGGATTTTGCCATAAGTAAGTTGGAATACGTTATGGTAGAAGTACGACAAACCAGATAAGCGCAACAGGCATAGAGACGCTTAGAAGCATCTCCAAAAACGCACAACTCTAAGCTGTTAGGTTTTGAACTTACTGGCATGACTAGACGTGGAATAGACGGCAATGGATGTTTCGAGTTCGCTACTACCTGATCCCACCGATCTAGCTGGGTCTTGTCCAAGGGGTCATCCCATCCCATTTGTTGGATCCAGAGGTCCTGTATAAAGACTTTGGCTGGAGCCAAAAATGGGGTGAGCAACCCTAGAGGATCGTAAGTGGATGCAAAGGCGCATAATGCCGTACGTTTTGTTGTTACGCTGACTTGGGATATTTTTACGCGGAAATCCAATACGTCCCTGGTGAAATGCCACCTTATACCTAACAGTTTGGCGCTGGATGGATTAATGGCGCGATCTTCAGCCGGTATAAGGGAGTTAACGCGGGTAGAATTGCATAAGAACTCGCGAAGGTTCATATGCATTCTACAAAAGATGGACTTTACGAGTTTATACTTGCTATACGCATCTTCTCGTGAAGTGGCTCCTAAGATGACGTTATCCACGTAAGTATTACGCGAGATTTCGTCACCCAAGGGGGATTCTTCGCGTTGAAGATACAATTTGATGGCAGCCGCAAGTAAAAACGGAGACGCGTTGACTCCAAAAGGTATGCGAGTGAATCGTAGAACACGCAAGTTAGCAGATGACGGCGGCTTCGATGGATCTTTAAGCCACAAAAAACGAGTAGCGTCGCGCTGCGAACGTTGCAACCGGATTTGATGGAATGCTTTCTCTACGTCTGCTATGAGGAGAAACGGGTGCAAACGTGCGCGGAGAAGGATGCCTACGAGGTCTGGTAAGAGCGATGGACCTTGGTGTAAACAGTCGTTAAGACTGTACGCGCCCTTACGCTTAGAGGAGGCATCAAAAACTACGCGGAGCTTCGTAGTAGAAGATGATTCTTTGAATACCGCTTGATGAGGGATGTAATAGATACGCGGGTCATCAAAGACGTATTCATCAACTTCTTCTACGAAGCCTGCGGAGACGTGGTCTTCTATCGCCTTTACGTATTGCTGCCAGACAGATGGATTTTGGCTGAGACGTTGGAACTGACTGAAAAGGCGACAATACGCGAGCTGCTTGTTGTCCTCCAAATGTGGATGATTAGCCTTCCAGGGAAAGCATACGTAAAGAACGCCGTCATTGAAAACTGCGGAATCGTTAAAGTTTTGAACGATGGTTTGTTGTAATTTGTCGTCTACGGAAGGATCGTAATCGTCTGCTATGCCGAGAGCGTCCAAGGACCAAAGGCGTTGTATTGCAATGTCGTGCTCGTGCCTGGTGACCGCAACGGTGTCGACGGTATTTGGGCCTTGCGGAAGCCTGACAGAAAAACCGAGTTGCCTGAGACGACCGTTCCGAAGCGAGTATGACAGAGGACCATGCCCGAAGGCAAACAAATGGGTGGTTCTGGTGACAGAACATCCCAAAAGTGGTCAATACCGATGAGAACGTCTGGAACTACGGACTGCGACTGACATAGTGGCATAGAAAATCCGTGGTCCTTGATGAAATTGACGTCCTCCGAGGACAAGCGCGGTGGAAATTGCGCGACTGTGACGATTTCTTTGGTTGTAAGTTCGACTACGAGCTCCTTGTTAAGCAGGTCGATCAGAGTAAGCTGCGCGATACCAGATATCTCCGTGGTGGGTTGACCACCAAACGCGATAAAGGTACGAGGCTGACTGCTTGAGACCTTGAGGCCCAAGCGGTCCGCTACGCTAGCTTCTATGAAACTTTTCTGCGCTCCGGAGTCGAGAAAGAGGATGACATCTTCGAACTGCGCGGAGCTACAGTTGAATGCTTTAGCTTTCACGAGCATGAGCGACGCGAACTTACGCTGTGGGTTGACAGAGTTGATGGAAGACGCAGTGTGGAGTGATTGAATTACATCCGCTTCATCCTCAGACTCGAGAGTCTGATTCTGTTGCGGATATGGAGAACTACGACGTCTGTCTGGAGAATGGCGCTCCCTCACGGAAGAGCTAAACGTAACTCGACGCGGAGATTGTGATCGAAAAGGAGACGGAGACCAACGAGTTCTAGCCGGCTCGTGCTGTTCACGAGAGTACGACGGTGACCTGTCACTTCGTGACGAGCTGCGTGCTTGTCGATGTTGTCTGGACGGACTACGCGAGGAGTAACGACGTGGTGAACGATGACGATGACAGTTGTCATTGGTACGCTGATCTCTCCTTGACTGTCGGCGAGCTGGCGTAGACTGACGACAAAGAAGCTCGTGGTGATCTCCTTTGCATG